GAATAATCTGAATGGGGTGTTTACATGACGTGTTTTTATTCAGAATGGCCATTTAATCCGATTACTCATGTCCATGTAAACGTAGCTAGTGTTTCCTCCTTATTTTCAAAGCAGTAAAAAATACCAAGAAGCACCAAAACAAGGCTCAATTGTTTTAGGAGAGATGGCTGACATGAAGACATCAGCCATTTGGGTAAATGCCACTCAGCCGTCTAAAAATRTTCCACATTACTCGGATGGTTAAAGTGAAATTGTGGAAAATATTCACCCGGATTGAAAAGTTTAACTCAAAGCAACARCAAACTGTCAGAAACAATGTGTGTGGTACATGGTGGTCAGTCRTTCTGAAGTTGATCCTAAACTTTAAAGGTTTTTATTAAAATGCTTTATGTTGCTGCAGTTACCCAAACCATATGTTGGAACACACGTTGCAGATGAACTTTTAAAAGGAAAAAAGTTGGTCTTCTTACCAAGACACGGAAATGGTTTCATTCCCTTTGATGAGAAAACATGTTTTCTCCTCCTGGTTAAACATGGCTGGCTGCACAGTCAGAGACGCGCTGGCATTCACTATTGGTCGAGCCCTGATGTATAAAACAAAAACAAAATTAAAAGATATGTTTTACAATGAAATTTGCTGGGAGTGCAGACATACCTGTACAGTGCAGCCTTATCTGACCCAAAAGCACCAACAATCAGATCTGTAAAAGTAAAGTGAGGTAAGTGAAGATATCAAAGCATGAWAAACAGATGTCTGGTGGGAAAATGTTGTCTCCTGTACCTGGGTACCCGTTCTGGTCCAGATCTTTGTCCCCCCTCATGGCAAAGCCAAAACCAGAAGGAAAAGAGCTCACAGCCCATTGGCCGGAAAGTGTCTGGGTGGGTGCGTGGTTCAGTCCTCCTGCATGACCGTTATAGATGAAGACCAAACCCTGCTGGTCTCCTCCTCCGTAGGGACAGCCAACAGCCATGTCTAAATGCAAGAAGTAAGAAAACATTTTATATTTCGACCTGAATCCAAGCTGAAGTATTTTTATACTTGACTGGAAGAGGATATCAAACACTGTTTAAGCACTGGCTGTGCTTCGAGTCATCCTGCTGAAAGAAACTGTTAAACATGTTCAACAGTTTCTGATTGGTCCTAATTTTGCAGTAACTGACTTTGTGTTACAAGCAGTGATTATCTGAGTTAGACTTTGAAGGAACTATGACGAGAAACTGCAAAAATATCCAAGGTTCTCTGCTTTAATTTGCAAATTTTCTCTTCAAATTCTTTATTTTTCTCTTTTATATGTGCTGTACAGTATGTGTAGTAGGGGTGCAACCATCCATATCTGTATGGAACAGTGATTTAGGTTCAATACACATTATGTATCAAACAATACAGATTTTTAACATTTATTTTATCARCTTGTCTTCTGAAGATGCTCTGTGTTGAAGGATCAGTGGATCTGTGTTCGACTACTCCACCTAGGTTGTAATGTTGAGCACAGATCCACTGAGAAACTTGCTGTTTCAGCAACATTTAATTTTAAAAACTGGACTTTTGAGGTTAAACAAATGTTCATAATTATTTCAATAAATTACTGTATGCGTTAAGAAGGGCATGGACATTTTTCTGTTTTGTATAGAAAACATATCAAACTGTGAGACTGAAATATTGAACTGAATTGTGAATTTTGTGTATCATTGCACCTGAAGGAAATTTATTCTGTTTGCCACAGAWTGTTAACACACTGTTTTATTCCTAGTGTAAGAAAATTCGTATTCAATAAACTGAAGTCGATATTAAAAACACAATTGTTAAAATGATTTGTAGAAGGAATTAAACCATACAACACCAGAATTCTGGATCTGAGTGAGGTTTATGGTCACTCAAGCTGACAGGAAACCAACACTACCGGAAAAACAGTAAGTTCATGTATTTATACACCTTCTTCAATGCCTGCATTCTCCCCCTACTGACCTATGGCTGAGTCACAGGCATTCAGACAAAATCCTCAGCTACTGTCATCACACCGGTTCATTATGTGTTGTCACATACTTCGGACATGTAACTAATCTATATCAATCAAAACATAATAGATTAAACACAGCCAACATTACAAAAAAAGGAAAACCTAAGAATATAGTGTGGTGCTTTTAACATCAGTACTAACCTCTAATAACTTTAAATTTCTTCAATCCCCCTGTTCACATGACCAAATCATGTGAACACTAGGAAAACTAGAGTATGTTCTGATAACTTATTTTGCAATATAACCTATTTATATGTGAGTTAGTGATGTACAGTCTGTTTTAAGAGGTTCATGTCAGAGTCATCTCAAGCAGAGTACTCTTGTGACATGATTAGTTAATACACACCTGAAGCATTTACAACATGTAAACATTTTAACATTAGAACTCAGTGTTCTGTTGTCTAAGTGTTTCTGGTACATGGTAGGGAAAACACTGTAGGGGTCACCTCGAGTCAAATTATCAGGAACTGTCTTGGACTCTCAGTCCTCTGATGGGCCTTCGAATGGACAAGAACTCTGTTCCACTTAGAAGTGAATCTAGGCCACCCAAGGCCACTTTCCTTCTAAATCAGATAAAAACTGAAGAATTTTCTCTTGTTTGATTTATTGTTCTCTTAACTGAAAGTATTACGCATTTTGATAATCAGAGAATGTTTATCAAAGTTACAGGAGAAGAGAGGACAGATCTCTTTTCTCCCTCAGTATGATTTCAGCTATGTATGGTTTTTCTGTGGGAAAATTCTTATTTAACTAAAATAATCTTTATGGTTTAAGTGTTTTACTTGTCTGAATCATAT